AACATAATTAAATTAAAGTTGCGACTGCTTTAGCATTCAACAAGACGTATGTGGAAATACGGCCCACTTAGCATTTTTTGACAAAAATCAGAACAAAAATCTCCATAGTTATGAGTGATGTTAAAACAACTCGCAACTTTTATTTGATTATGTTATAAAATTCATAAAGATCATCTTTTCTTTCAATTTTGACAAAAAAATTTGAAAGCAAAGCAATTTGAAATTTCAACATAAAAATGACGATAACTCGAAAATGATGCATTTTTGAACCTATATTCACCTATATCATCTTTCTTCTTATTTTCATAGTATTCATTCATGTGAAGATCCGAGTGATTGATCTCGCCTTGCGAAATATGTAATAATGTGAAACTATTATTTTAGGAACAGAATGTTAATCACGCCGCTGAGCAACAGGACGAAACTTCAAGCGCTCGTCCATCCAAAGTCAAATAAAGTGAATCCAGTCAAAGATACGTAAGTAATTAAAAACTAAACGAAAATGATAACTTCAAATTTATAATTTACGAATTTTATTTGTCGCTTAGAAACACATCCGACGAAGATGACATTTCCGAAAGAATAATATCGAGAACGTTTGACAATCAGGCTGCTCAAGGAGTATAAATTGTCCTTGTTGTTCAGTTATAAAGTTCTAGAAAATAAATTTCATGTACATTTCAATATTTATCCCTGTTTCAGGATGAGGATACTATATTACCGAATGCTATAATCGATCAGATAAACGATGCTTGTTCGCTTTGCAGGCAACAAGAGGTGACTTAAGGACAACAACGATTAATTAATATTAATTCCATTACTTTTAAAATCTAAAGATATCTAAAACTTTTTCGGATCCTCGGTTCATATTTTTCAGAGGTTAACACCAACTTCAGACAATTTCAAAAGTTACACCGTCTTCAAGAGTAGAACGGGAAGATACTTTTGTGAATCTTGTGCTCCGATGGATAGTAAAAAGGTAAATAGCCGTATTTTTATTGCGAATTAACTAATAAAAATATACTAAATATACATTTGCTTGCAATAAAATTAAAACTTATCATTGCAACTTCAAATTTGAAAAAGATTTTGCACAATAATTTATTTTTATTCAAAATGACTTGTTTGTATGCAGCTTAAATGAGATTAAATTTCTTACGAACACTTTGAAGAAATAAACTTTTATTTAATATGCTAAAAAAAATATTTAATAGCTTCAGATAACGAGTAAACTCGAAGGTGCAGATCTAGAAAAGCTACAGTGCGCCAATTGTCGATTGCATTTTCGTAACCGAAGGGTCAAAACTGTAGGTATTAAAATGACGATTAACAAAAGATATCGTCAAAGTTAAATGAAACTAAAAATAATTTCTATCTGCAGAAAATTAAACTAAAATCAAATACTTGTCCAAAGTGTGGTCGACTGCAGTGACATGTGACTTCTTTTTCTTCCACGAAAAACAGATTGCTATTATATTTATGAATATCATGTGTCGGTAAAGCACATAATAATAAGAACGTGCTCGCTCGTAATTGTTAAAAAAAATCTTTATTCTTTACAATAACAGTCATTAGGAACACCGATTAAAGAACATACAGTATATTTGTCTTTGCGCGGACGTAATGAGAAGAATAAGCAGCGCTGATCGCATTATTGAGTATTAGCTCTGTAACCTATTGTAAAATAACACTATCGGAAGAACATGATTTGTACTTCTTTGCGACGTTTCTTGAAACATGATAATAATTTCCGTAATCGGGAGGATACACATCGCTTATAATCGGCTGTGATTCGTTTAATGCAGCGCTAACTTATTGTCGATTTTAATCTTTAGCTTTCACCTTCAGTCTTGTATTTTTAAAATATAGCTTGATTTTCGATAAAGCTCATTTAATTTCTGGCGATACTTTTTCCGGAGCTCTCTACTTCCATCCGCTCCGAGTGCATGACGATAATAAAAAAATATAACAATAAAAAAATTTGAGACCCGTTAAAAAGTATGCGATTAGAAAACATTGGCGATCCGTCTTGCTTTTAAAATAAATACAAGTATATCGCGAAGCTTAATTCGATATAAATTTGCAGTCTCGTAAAGCATGCAAGAGAGCCGCGATTTACATAGATCGTTAAAAAATAATAGATACCAACGATTATACGCGGGTTAAGAATGTTAACGTATTAACATTTACCGTTAAAATACTATAAAATAAAAAAAAACGCGCATTTATATTGAATTATGGATTAAAGAAGTCACGGTTAGTTTAGCAGCAACTTCTATTCCTATTAAAAAAGAAAAAAAAAAAGAAAGAAAATTTTTGTGCTACTTATACGAGCACTTATCTTTGGTCAATAATTAAACAAAAAAGATATGATATCCTAATAATTATCTCATTAGTGCACGAAATAAACGTAAAAATGCCGCTATTTTTTAAAATCTGCATAAAATGTCAAAAGAAAAAAAAATAAATAAAAGAAAGAAAAAAAGAGAATCACAGCTTAACCCGAGCGATCGCTTGCTTCAAAATCGGTCTAGGGCGTTTCTCGTCGTTGTTATTTGTCACATCGAGTGGGACGAGGCAAGACGACACGCTTTCCGAGGGATTGCAAATCGGCGTGAAATTCAAGACAACATTAGGCGCGTAATTTTGAACGTAATATGACGTAGCGGGATTCATTAGATGCGACATCGCATCGCCATTTTCTGCTTTCGGCAAGATTGTCTTATGCCAGAGTTCGCAGTCGCCTAGTTTCTCGCTCCCGACCTGAATGGGACTTGAGTCCATCGATCCCTGAATGATCTGTTCGTTGCACCAATACGGCCGATCATAGTCGTCGCGAGAAGGAATGACCGGGGATTGCGAATAAGTTATAACGTCTTTCGAAGAATAGAGATAAACCGGCGGTTGCAAGAGCACGTAACAAGGCGTTGCTGAATGATTCTGATAACGGACGGCGGCAACCGGCCGGTTCTTCTCCGCCATCTTGCTGGTAGAGCAATCAGAAGAGGAATAATTTGAGGCGTTGGAATCGTTCGGGCATTGATATCTAAAAAAGGAAGTTTGCGGTGGTTGATCGGTAATCAATTCTGTGCTGTTCTCGAAATCGCGCGGCGATTCATTTGGCATTTTTTTTAGCGACTCGTAAACTTTCGGGCCGCTAGAATTCGTAGGCGAGTTGGGTAACGTGGGCAGATTCGATTTCCACATATCGAAGTTGGGAAAACCGTTCGCGTCCTTTTTCAGTTGTAAACCTTTGTCCTGGAAGTGCCCGTCTAATGACGATTGCACATTGTCATTGATATCCGTGATCACCATCGGCGACTTCTTTTCGTCATCCAGCAAACAATTATTCATGACAGACATAGCCATCGTGGAATAACGAGTAATGTTGCAGCGGTGGTTAGTAGATTTCACGATCGGTAAATCAGCATCCTGGCAATGGTCATTGCCATCGTTCGGCGGACAAATCGGCGGCATTTGTTTCCGATTGCCTTGATTCAAATCGTTCTGTGTCGATGGAATTGACGAGGGGGATGATGTGCCCTTTTTGGATTGCTGCAAATACTTCCGGGTAATCTGCACGTCGCCCTTGTCATCGACCGTGCCGCGATCTTCATACTGATGATACACATATGCGATTTACACGAAAGAAAAATTAGACGTTGCTGACAACATAAACCGGTTGCACCGATTAGTCGATAAATCGAAATGACGGAAGCAAATCATAAAATGCTTAAAAAACCTCTAGACGTTTCTCAAATATAATTTTATAAATGTCTAAATTTTTTAATGTCATAAAAATTGTATCAAGATATTTATCCATTCTGATTTATATATATATTTTTTTTTTATTTAAGGCTTCTGCTGACTCATTACAGTTTGAAATTATAACATCAGAAGCAAGAAAATACATACAATAAAAAATTGTTTTTTGCAAAATACAGAAATATTTTCATTCATTTTTATTTATTTTTATTTTAAAACAAATAGTTTTCAATAAAAGAATATTTGTAATCGATAGAATTTATGAAGTAAAAAATCTCTTCTTTTGTTTCGATAATCAATAAATAAATATATAGCTAGAAACAAATCTCATTAAGAATAGAGACAATAAATTCAATTCTAGATATGTTATTTATTGATTATTGGAAATATATAAGTTTTATCGATTGCAACATTATTTTATCAAAAAATATTTTTATTTTAATATCTTTTGCAAGAATTTTCACTTTTTTTCACTTCTAATATCGTAATTCAAGATGGCTGCAGTGAATTATTAGCACGAGCTATAATTTCTGTTCTAATTTATATATTCTCTTTGTATATATGCAAAATTTTGATCCACCATATATTATTGTTAAATCTTAATATTTAAAAAATTAAAAAAGAAAATTGAAATTCTCTCTTGATGCTTGAAATAATGTTCTCTAGGGATGTCTCAACTCTTAATTAATAATTCAAGGAGTGAAAGAGGTTGAAATTTTAAATTAAAAATTCCTTTTCCAATTTTAACTCAGACCATTATTTACCGAGTTATAATAACGATTAAAGTAACGATTAACGATCAATCAGA